AACATTGTAAAATCCTTGATATCAGTAAGATTAACGAGAGAGGACAAACAAACAAAAATATACTTGTTGCTAAATCCTTACCAGAATACTTCCTGACAACTTTCACATGTAAAAGGCAAAAAATCTACAATGAAAGAGAATTTTTAAAAAAAATTAATACATGTAACATAATTTACAACAACTGCATTATGCATACTTTTGTAGGGATCACTTCCCTTAAAACATTTTTTTTAATATTGTATCACCGTAAGTAAAGGATGCAATGACCTTAATGCAAGGTGTTACACACTACTTAAAAATACGATGATACAAGGATTACCTGTCCAAGTCGGATGATTCTATAATTTGCCAAGTAATTTTCCAGTTATGAATCGCACTGGGTCTTGCCATATTTAATATAATGAACATTTTCAATTGCAGTAAACAATGGTTAAAAGTTGTTTGAAAAAATTGGGGGATGGGAACAGTCCCCCTGGCCTGCCCCCTCCAGACCAGATAAAATGTGCCTGAACTTAAAATGCCATCTACACTAGTGATGGGAATCGGTAAAATTTTCATAATCGATGATTGGGTTACTCTAAGTAACTAATTATCGATTATAATCGGACATGTAAAAAGTATATCAATTTAAACTAGTAAATGGTAAGAATGGGTAAATGACGACTCTCTGAGGTGATCCAGCTGGTCCTTAGTTCATTTTATAGAACCAAAAGTAAGTCCATGCCCAGAAATATGCTTTGTTATCCGGGTAGAAATGCAAGAGTTTGTTCATCTACACCATTACGTTACACAAATAAGTCAAAAACAATGCTATGGATAGAAAATTATGGTTAAAACTATATGGCTTGTAAAATTAAATAATAAACCGATTAATCAGAATTTTTAAAATGCAATCGATTGCTTGGATTATGTCAGCAATCGACTGATTTTCGATTATAATCGATGATTGGAACACCACTAATCTACACTGTTATAAAAAAAAAAATTTCCAAAATTTTCAACAGTTAAATTACAACAACTTTAAACTTTAAAACACATATATGGAAATCAATTCTATGAACATATATATGTACATTCAACCAAAAAAAAAAAAAAAATCATATATCTTTCTTTCTTATTCGAGAAGACTTTTATTCCATGCATAAAAAAAACACTGTTTTAACATAAACAAAAGTTCAAAAACTCTGAGAGATCACATTTGATTATTAAATTTAATAAATATAAAGAAAACTGCATTTAGCTTATTCTAAATACAATAAAATTTTAATAGTTCATGTATATGACAATCATATTTCAAATATTTCAAGCACATGTATACAAGTCATCTTTTAAATCTTATTTCATCCAATAAAATGAAGTTTTTCAGTCTCACTGGTAGAGGCAGTTTCTCAGTCTTCAATGAAATCCCGAAACACATTGCCTCTCGGATGGCTGTTCTACACAGTTTCTGAAGACAAGGAATAGGGAAAAGTTCTATGGTGTCAGGAGCATACTGGCATATTTTCGATTTTATTGTGGCATCTGGGATTATTCCTAGAGGCAATAAATAATCAAGGATAATTGGCATTAGCTTCAATTTAACTTTTGAAAATGTACATTGTTTTTGTAGATGATCAAGACACTTCAAAATGTCATTCTTCTTCGAAATGGATGTACAAAATCCATTTTCTTTCAGTAAACTGATCAAGAATTTTTCAGCTTGGAGGTGTCCATTGAGATATTCATTCAGTATTGTTTCACCAACTGATCCCTCAATACCACTATAAAAGACATCTGCTCCATGTGCAAGCAGAAATTGATATGTTCCCAAATTGTGACTCTGAACACAAACACTTAGATGTAAACTGACATTTGTCTGTCTGGCAGAGAGAATAGCACAGATTATTTCCTTCTGGTCATCCTCTATGGCAGTGGTCAATGCAGTCCTAATATTGTGTAAATGTCGATGACCACAAATGACATTGCTGTCTGCCCCATACAATAACAGAAGTTTAACCATTTGTACATTATTCTGTTGTACTGCTTCACTTAGTGGCGTGGTGTTTCCCTCGTTTATAGCATTTATTATGGCACCATGCAACACCAGTATTTGAGTAATCTCTATATTGGATGTTTGGACAGCATGCATTAATGCTGTATCTTTATTTCTGTCCCCTAAATTCAATCTACACCCCGCATTAATCAAGGCTTGAACCCTCTGGGTTTTCCCGTCCAATACACTCCACATCAAGAGGGTTCTTCCATATCCATCACTGAGATTTAGATCTCCTTTCTTTTCAATAAATGTTTGGAAATATTTTTCCGATCCAAAACGTAAATTGTCAACAATGTCATGAAGATTACTATAACTTCTCCTCATCGTGTCACAGTTTTTCAATCCTTTCTTTGGTATGTAGATCTTTAATCTTCTGTAAATGTAAACAAATTGACAGGTCTAGAGATTGACTTGAACTTCAAATTACAAGTTGTTCTGCTTAAGAAAACAATATATTGTTCTTTCATCCTGTCACATAATATAATAACCACTGTCAACAGTACAGTTTTCCTTCGTTGTTTACACATAAAAGGGTGGAAATCACATTAGCGGCCCCTTCCATGCCCCTTTAAAAATACCCTCTGGCATTTTCAAATACAGGCTCAATTTAAAACAAGAGGCCCATGGGCCACATCGCTCACCTGAGAAGCTTTGACCATTCTATTCTTTACCAGATTTCCCCCTTGTAATACATATTCAGGGGTGTGCAATTAGCATCGCCCGACGCCCGGGGCTACCACTTTTTGGGATCGGGCTAGTGATTTTCTGCATGGAGGTAGCCCGTCGGGCTAGTAAAAATTATAACTACACAGGCAATACATGAAAAGCACAACCTGAATTTTCACTCGTTTTTGCTATCAAATTTCCAACCAGTGAAAATTTTTCTGACAACATGCTCCTACTCTCAATAAATCTCCATAATGTTATCTGTTTTGCAGCACTACTTGACTTATTTACTTCCAAAAACATTCGTTTTTTCCTAATCCGAATTTCCTCTATTTTTTAGTTTATGGTAAATACATGCAGATATCTCATTAAATTATTTACAATCACTCAATCAACTGAAAGATAAGTGTTTTATGACTCACATAAAATATATTTATAGTGTATTTAATGATTTAAGATGAAAACAAAATGAATTAAATTTCATTCTAAATGAGATAGTACAATGTTCAGAAAAAAGAGAAGATAATTTATTTAAATTCATTTTAATCTTCTTTCATTATTATTTATACATGATTTAATTTCATAGTGAGAATTAAACTTTATCGTAATTTTAAAAAGAATGACTTCAGTACCCTGACTTTTTCAACAATAAATTTCTTTTCAACATATATAGTTTTTTATTTTAATTTTTCCCCTCTATTTGGGCTAGCAACTTTTCACTTGGGGCTAGTAACTTTATAGCTGCCACTAGCCCACGCGCTAGTAATTGATTTTTCTAATTGCACACCCCTGATATAGTGACCCCACAATACCCACTGATCATAATTTAGACAATTTGAAATCTACACTACCCCAGGATGCTTCCACATAAGTTTCAGCTTTTCTGGCCCAGTGGTTCTTGAGAAGAAGATTTTTTAAATATTTTTCCTATTTATTTCCATGTAAAACTTTGATTTCTTATTGTGGCACCACCTTACCCCCGGGGGGTCATGATTTGAATAATTTAGAATCTACGCTACCCCAAGATGTTTCCAAATAAGTTTCAGCTTTTCTGGCCCATTGGTTCTTGTGAAGAAGATTTTTAAAGATTTTTCCTATATATTTCTATGTAAAACTTTAATTCCCTAGTGTGACCCAGCCCTACCCCCTGGGGTCTGATTTGAACAATTTAGAATCTACACTACCCCAGGATGCTTCCACACAAGTTTCAGCTTTTCTGGCCCAGTGGTTCTTGAGAAGAAGATTTCAAAGATTTTTCCCATATATTTCTATGTAAAAATTTTATTCCCCATTGTGGCCCTGCCCTACCCCCGGGGGTCATGAATTGAACAATTTAGAATCTACACTACCCCAGGATGCTTCCACATAAGTTTCAGCTTTCCTGGCCCAGTGGTTCTTGAGAAGAAGATTTTTTAATGACCCCACCCTATTTTCATATTTTCTTGATTATCTCCCCTTGTGAGGGGACTTGGCCCTTCATTTGAACAATTTAAATTCCCCTTCACCCAAGAATGATTGGTACCAAGTTTGGTCAAAATTGGCACAGTGGTTCTTGAGAAGAAGTCGAAAATGTGAAAAGTTTACAGACGGACGGACGATGGACAAAATGTGATCAGGAAAGCTCACTTGAGCCTTCGGCTCAGGTGAGCTAAAAAAACAATTAGGAACATGTACATCATTGGCAATGGTTATCAATGATGTATATATTTCTAATTATTTCTTCCCTTTACTTTTGTTCCTTTTAAAAGAGAAGTTAGTTTGTTACTCAATATTGCTTTTTAATAAAATACCCAAATCATAATAGATTAATATCACTTTGTTTCCAGCTTAATCAGTTGATTATTTGTTTACAAATATTTATACCTCCATTTTCAACTGGCATTTTAGCTGAATGGATATATCCAGTATACAACTAAAACAATAGACATAAAAAACAACATTTTTATGTTTCTGGTAAAAACTGTTCTAATTCTTTGCCATCTGCATCTGTGAAAATCTCGAGTTTCCTTCATGCAACAGACTGTGATAGAGGAATACTGAAGTATTCTTTAAATATGGAAATCCACATTCTATTTCTTCGAATTTATATGATACATTTTTATCCACTACTGCTTAGAAATTTTGTATCTTCGCTTACCTATTTGCTTACAACCTTCTAAGCTACAGTGCTTGCCAAGATTTGGAAATTCAGCCATACCGGAAGTTCATTATTAGATTGTTTTCATATCTTCGGATTTATTTTTAAGCCTAAAAATATATCAATAAGCTTTTTGTTCACTTGTATTATTTTGTTAAATTATTTACCTTAATTTTTGTGAGTGTAAAAGTAAAATTTTGAAAGAGAATATGTAAATTTTCTTCTCATTCATTCGAAACTAAAGCTGTTGCTGGGACAATACTGAATGTCAACAATATGGCGGAAAAATAAAGGCAGACAGGTGCTCGAAAGAAAGATGGCTCTCATCAAACGAGATCAAACTCTTCAAGAATGGGGGATTAATAAAAGACAGAGGCTCAGACGTAAACAACAAAATAAATCAATCATTCAAATTCATAGAATAATTTCGCAAATAAATTTTACTGTGTTTATAACTTTGTACAGAGACTATCTGTATCTGTATCTGTATTGTTACATCACAGTAACCCCGTTGGGCTTTGATGTGACGGATGGAGGGCGCTTAGTCGCGAAGATGTTCTATCGCCGACTTAAAGCTTTCTAGCTTTGGGGCGCGGACTGCTTTCTCTTCCAGGTGGTTCCAGTCAACAGCTGTACGTACAAAGAGTGAATTTTTCAGTTGGTCTGTCTTTGTATCAAGTATCTCAACTGCACGGCTGTTATTCCTGATCCTATTACTTATGATATTTGTCGCTTGATAATCCTCGTACACTTTCGGTCTGATGTTTCTTTTCGGTTTTTGAAATTTTATATATTGGTCTGATTTAATAGCTGGTATCTGCCCCTCAACCACTTTGTAAAAAAAGATAAGACGTTGTTGTTGTCGTCTGGTTTGTAATAAGGGGAGGTCGAGATCTTTAAGCATCTTTGTCATTGTACCCTCTTCCCTTGATTTATAGTCTTTGGTTATGAATCTTGCGCCTCTTCTTTGGATGGATTCTAATTTTGTTGATTCTTGTTTGGTGTATGGATCCCAGATGACAGCTCCATACTCCATTATAGATCTCACTAGTGCTATATATGCAATCTTTCTACATTCCCTTGGACAGTGTTGTAGGTTCCTTCTTAGGAAGCCTAGGGTGGAGTTGGCTTTATTTGAGATGTTGTTTATATGTTCTTTCCATTTCAGGTCTTCTTGTATTTGTAGTCCTAAGTAGGGATTTGATGCCACTTGTTCTAAGGTGTGGTTCTCAAGGGTATATTGGCTGTTTATTTTTCTACGAATGCTTAGTATATAGCATTTTTTTGCGTTAAATCTCATACCCCAGTCAGATGCCCACTGTTCCAGTTTTTGTAGGTCCTTTTGTAGTAGGTTTTGATTTTTGGGTGATTTAATTTCCCTGTACAAAAGGCAGTCGTCGGCAAAAAGCCTAACTGAAGATTTTACTGCGTCAGGGAGATCATTTATATGGCAGAGAAAAAGTATGGGTCCAAGTACTGTTCCCTGTGGTACCCCGGATTCCACGCTAGTGTAGTCCGAGTATTCCCCATCCAACTGGACTCTCATTGTCCTTTTTGTTAGGAAGTTTGTTAACCAGTCGTGGATTTCTCCCCTTATTCCGTATTGATTGAGTTTGTGTAGGAGTCTATCATGGGGAACAGTGCCGAATGCTTTCGAGAAATCCAGGATTGCTACGTCTACTTGATGACCCTTGTCGTAGGATAGTAACATGTCGTGTATGGTTATAGCGAGTTGGGTTTCGCAGGAATATCCGGACCTGAAGCCGTGGTTCAAGGATGTTAATATTTTGTTGCATTCCAAATGTTTCATCATTTGTCGACATATGATATGCTCTAGTAGCTTGCAGGGTACTGATGTTAAGGAGACTGGTCTGTAGTTTTCAGCTGCGTGTCTATCCCCTTTTTTGAAGATACACGATATGTTTGCGCTGAGCCAGTCTTTTGGTAATTCCCCTGTATCTAGTGATTTTTGGTATATAATCGACAATATTGGTGCTATTTGGTCTGCACATTGTTTCAGGACTCTATTTGGGATGTTATCGGGTCCGGCTGCTTTTGATGGATTGATGTTTTTAAGCAGTTTTGCCACGCCTTCTTCTCTGATGGTGATTCTTTTTATTCCTGTTTTTAGGTTGATGTTCGTCGGGGGCATTGTATTTACTTTCTCCTTTGTGAAGACTGATGAAAATTGTCTTAGAAGGATCTTTGCTTTTTCCTTGCTGTCATTGATTAAATGCCCTTGATCTTTTAGGGGTGCTACTCCGATGTTATCTTGTTTGCGAGATTTAACATATTTCCAGAATGGTTTAGAGTTGTTCTTTTCCATGCCTTCCAGGATTGCTGTATTTATGTCTTTGGTTTATAGTCTGTTATTATTTTAAACGTAATAGGCCTATTTACCAATGCGATAAATTTTGTAAGGTGAATATAACATCATTTAATTGTGTTTCCTATAGATACCAACATATATTTATGCACCATTTTAAAGTTTTTCCTTTCTTTGGTGTTAATTAATTAGTTTTTTTTTTTATTTTAGTTCCAAAAATTGATGACACTCCACAACCTACAATCGACTATGAAAAACTTCGAATGCTTTGCAGCATTGAAGGCCTTAAAGGAAGGTAGTTATGAGAAAAAATACACAAGTAGTAGTATTATTGTCTTTATATATTGATCATTGACACTAGATACAATGTAGCACGATCATTTATGTAACTATGATTTGTTAATCTGTTGTGAAACAATGTACATTTGTACTTTCAGATGAATAAATGTCCCATGGGCCTTTGATTGGTCTATAAAATATCTTGTATACTGTACATTTCTTGTGCAAAGCTTTATTTTCAGAGGACAATCCATGAAAATTACACTATTTAAAAATCAGTTAAGAACAATTGAAATAAGACCGCGGAACATTAACTGGCAAAATTGGAAATATACAGCTTACGTCATTTCTATCTGTTACAATTCAGTGATAGACAGCGTAATGGGCGGGTACAATTCGACGCGGACGTTTGGAAAACATCGGATTGAAATTGCAGATCGAAATTCATTTTCAATCCACCTGAACTGTTTTCAAAGCTAAGAGTGAATATATGATCCAAAAATCAACTAATTTTAACTCCCGAATACATATTGTTTGAAGTTCACATTAATACGAGTTTTAGCTTATAATTTTAGGGACGCGAAAGATGATAGAAGACATTTTTTTTCAGGAGATATTTGATTCTAAGCTGGGGGGGGGGGGGTAAAAAATTATCGAGTCAGGTCATGACTTACATGTAATGTTTACATGACAACAGATTTTGTTTGTAGGATTTTTAGAGTCCATGAGTTTTATACTTATTCTCACTGAAAAATGTTGGACAACTTTATTTAAAATTGTTAAGCCCCCCTCCCCTAAACCAAACGTATGTTTACCAGGCAGAAATGAAATATTTGTCCCTTAATATTTTTTTTTTAAAACACTGGACAAAAAATTCAAACTGTACCAAAATTGAAATTGTCTTCTGGGTAAGTCAGTGACACTGTGGCTTCTAGCGTAGTTGAGGTGGATTGAAAATGAATTTCAATCTGCAATTTCAATCCAATGTTTTCCAAACGTCCGCGTCGAATTGTAGCGTAGCTGAGGTGGATTGAAAATGAATTTTGATGTTTTCCAAACGTCCGCGTCGAATTGTACCCGCCCATTACGCTGTCTATCACTGAATGTTTTGATTGTAACAGATAGAAATGACGTAAGCTGTATATTTCCAATTTTGCCAGTTAATGTTCCGCGGTCTTATTCTGAACCTCCCATGATTATAATTTTTCAGGGAACAGGCAGAGTCAACTGAAGAAGCTCATGAAGAGTTCATGAGGAATTATCATCAAATATTTGCAAAACCACCCAAAAAATCTGGTTACCCTAACCACTCAGAGAAAAGAAGGTAATTTTTAAGTTTTCACTGATTAAATATAAATTGATTGGTCATCTATATTGTCAATGCTTACATGGGTAAATATATAAAACATTTTTGGAAAGCTCCAATTTTTATACAGAACTAATTTTTACAACATACTACATGTAAATGTATCATTGGGTTGATTTTTTGTCTACTCATGCAGCACATTTAAAACACATAACTGTCTTTGACAAGCTCTACTGTGTTATACAGTTGAACTTTGGTATCTCAAACACCAGTTTCTCAAATACCATGGATATGTCAAATTGAATTTGAAGTTCTAACCACTTAATCTTTAAGTATTTTATCCTTAATATCTCGAATCCTTTGATATATAGAAGTTTCTCTGTCCCATTGAGTTTGTGATAACTAGGTTTGACAATACTTATAACAAAGAGAAGTTATGTTAGAATATAGTTGTCTACTTGTGTAAAATTCTAATCAGACCAAAACTGTAGAAGGGGTAGCATTTTGAAAGAATTTCAAAATCATTATATTTTTTTAAACCATTGAAACAGTGTTTGTCAGAAAACCAATACTTGAATTATGTATCTTAGTAAAGTCTACTTATGTACAGAGTCTTATTGAAATTAGACCAAATCTGATGGAGAAATAGCATTTTGAATAATTGTAAACCAAACAGACAGACAACATACACCTGTCATAGATCATACAAATCTGTTTTTTTTTAAAATGAATCAAACTACATTTTGGCGTAGTTTATAATATGTAGAATTAGATTGTAATTAAAATTAAAGGTTCTAATAAAATGTTTTACTTCTTTATCACTACATCACTATTCTTGTGCAAAAAGTTAAAATCCAAATGAAAATGTTTATTTCTTTACCATTCGTAGTGAACATAAGTCCTCAGCTGCCAGTTTTACCAACAGAGCAACAGGTATGATATATACAGTTGTATATATATGCACTGTACTAACCATTTTGTTTATCTTAGAGTGTAATCTGACAACTTGATATTATTAACGATCTTTTACAAATTAATTATTCCAAGGATGTTACAGCACATCACAATGAATAGACTGAATACACTGTAAAACAAAAAAAAAAATAAAGTTCAGCACCATATGTACATTTACATCTTACTTCAGGGAAATCCTCGGAGGCTGTGAAGCCTAAAGGGAAGGACTACCCAGTGGATGGAATCACCCATGACATACGGGATTACATGCCTCTGCTCCACAAACAGAGGAAGAGTGAGGACCCAGAACACGTTAGACTTGACAATCTCAGGACACTAAGGAAGCTGTTCAGAAAATTGTAAGATCAACATCAAACCTACTACTATTACGGTAAAACATGCTTATAATATGTAGTGCCAGGGATGGACAGTTTTGATTCATTTTAAGCTTATTTGATTATATTCGTTAAATTGTTTATATATTTTAAAATCACTGAGAATGAAAATCACTTTGCTATAAGCTTCAATTCATTATAAAAGCAATATAGAGCTATAACCATGTATTATCATTAAGCTATAGTTTTTTTTTTTCATAGAGGTTCAGTTTTCACAGATTTTATTTACCCCTTACACAATATACATGATCAACAAATATTCTCATCTTCACTAGCCTAGGCTTTCCAATCTGAAGTCTACCATAAAACCAAGAGTTATAGAGTAGACTTCAGAGCAGAAACCCTTGGCAAGAAAAGATTTTGTATTCTCTGTTATTAGAGATTTCAGCGACAAATATGTCCCAAAAAACTCAGAGATATTTTTTTCCAATGCATGAAAATTTTTCCATGTGATTTACAAAAAATTCATAGTATGAAATAGATTCTTTAATATAAGTATTACATATAGAAGCAATCGTTTTGTCCCCACATGTCAATTGTGCTGAATATAATATATTGAGAAATATTTACAGAACAAAAGATAGTGATGAAATTCTCAAACAGTTACCTTAAGTCTCTGCAAGTGGTCTATCCATATATGTTTTTCTTCCAGACCATTTGAAAGATCACTGCCAGAAATAGAGAAAATATTTTCCATTCTACAAACATTTAAATTCTTCAAGGACAAGATTCCTTCCAAAGTTCTCAGAGAGCTCTGTGTTGTTGGTGTTCTAGAACAATGGAAAGAACCAGGATTTACAGGTATACATAATGGCCAATACTTCAGAGTAGTGTTTACGGAAATTCAAGATTTATAAAAGATTACAATATTTTATTAATCCATGTACTGTAAACATACTTTTCCAGGGGGTCATAATTCTGTGGAATCACTATTTCTGTTTAATCCGCTGGTAGAAAATTATGCGGATTTCTAAGATTCTCACTATAAGCCTCATATGCATTTTAAGTATGGTGGGACAAATTTCTGCGGCAATTAATACCATGCGGAAAAAAGTACTTCTACAGTTTATAAAATCATGTACAGGCATTATTGGAATATGTTTTATATTTTCTCTACTTCAGCTACCTACTGTATTTGAATACTCTAGTGAACAATCATCATTTTTGAATAATTTGTTTTAAATTCATTCACATTGAATGTCCTTGTTAAAAATTTTAGTGTTTGGTAAAGCTGGGTTACATATGGTGTTGAGAGGAGCAGTGAAACCAATTACGGACCCTTACTTAAACGAGAATAATGAAATTCCTGATTCACGTAGCTCCACTCCATTAGTACCAGAGGAAACACAAGCAGAGGTACACACATGTATATTTTACATATAAATATGTAAGTTAGAGTGTAACAAACAAAACATTTTTCTTAATTATATTGTTTTTTTATGATAGGATAGAAGAATTTTATAAGAATTTTGTTTTAAATTTCAGTTAGTGGCTGGTGACTGTTTTGGTACTTTAGTAAAAGTAAAAAGAGAACAAGGATCCAAGTAAGTTTCTTTTTACTTTTTTCAAAGTGCTTTAAAATCAATTACATGTACAAACTAATGAACTTTAATATCGTAAATAAAAAAGAAAACATGATGTGTTGGATGGAAAAATATAACCTTCAAGCCTATTTTATTTTTCCACCTCTACAAGATTACTTATCAGTGTACATTTATATACAAATATTTGATTTCAGAATATTTAGTGTAGTTACTACACAACCAAATTGTGAATTCCTGAAAATATCATCTACAGACTACATGAGGGTTATAGAGGTATGATTACAGTTTATTTTCTTCAAAGCCCCTCCCCATTTCTCCCAAATCTGATAAACTACTGTAAAATCACATATGTTCTAGGGGTCAAATTTTCGTGGTTTTAGGAAAATATATTGGTTCATGGGGATTTGATTTCATGGATGAAGAATAAATCAGTTGTAAAATATGTGAAAAATTGCATTTCGTGGTGGACATAAATTCATGGGTCCCTCCATACCTTGAAAACCACAAAAATTAAACCCCCATGAAAATTTGTGATTTCACAGTAAGTATTTCATAAAATTCATTGAAAACCATGTCTAAAAGTTATTATGATCACTATATGTAACATTTCTTTTGTATGTAAATATTAAATCGAAAATTTCAGCAAATCAAACAAAGAGAGCACACAGAAAAGGTGAACTTACTATTATCATGTGGTCAGTACCAACTTTGGCCAAAACAGCCGGTACTGAAGGTAGCTGAGCTTATAGAATGGATGAGTGCCCCTCCCAATTCTTGTGAGTACTATCATTCTACAAAATAGGAGGTTCATAAATCATGTCTTATACATGTATTTATTAAATGCAGCCTCATTTATAATTCCTTGTTAGTCAGGTGGAGAGCTGCATTTATTATTTACAAGTTTGTGTTTTTCTAAAAGGCAGACTATAAACAAATTAGATTAAAAGATTATCTGTGATCTTCATAATAACAATTTTTTTTAGTCAAAGAAATTTATATTGATAACAATTAGTAACACTTTTATTATTTATTTTTTTTCTATCTGTATTACAGTGCTAGTCAGTGAGAAATATAAGGCTCCATACATAGGCTTCATCAAAAAGGGAGTCTGTCATGTCCTAAAGCAAGTGGAAGTCATGCACACCCAGCCAAATGGAAAACGGGTAAATTTGTTAATACATGTATCAAAAATTAAAAAATCAGAAATACCTACAAAAAAGTGATTTTTTAAAAAAAAATAATTAAAAAATGAATTGAAAGCTTAGTTTATTTATCTTTAAGTTAATTGTTTTTTACTTATTTCTAGGAGAAGAAAACAAAGCAGGTTGTGGTAGGAATCCTGAAGGAGTCGCAGTCCTTTGCGGAGTTGAGTGTCCTCTTAGACGAATCAATAGACTGTACGATCCTCACAGATAAAAATGTAGAATTAGGCATTATACGAAAGGAGAGAATTAAAGGTATCAGCTGTAAAAAACTTCTTTTTTTATCTTATCATTTGTTGTTTAAAACACATTTTTATTTCAGTGTTTCCTGAGTTGTCTCCCTTTACAGTATAATTGCTCCTGAACTTCAAATGATAAGCGTTTGATGGATATTTGTTCTTTACAGAATTGGATGACGACACCAAAAAATTATTTCAACAGACTGCAGAGCCAACCTTTGGTAACCTTAAGAAGGTATTAATTAAAAGTTTTCAGTAAATTTTCTTGAAAATTTGAACCTGTTTAGTTACATATAGATGATATATAGGAAGATAATTTTTTTCTGCAGTAATTGTTACACAAAAATCCAAGTTCACCTCAGTATGAAACTCAAAGTAAAATAATCAAAATACATATACACTTTATATTTATAAACATTGTAGGATTTCTCTCAAGATTTAATTGATTTTTATCGAACTATTTCTGTTTTGTTTTTCCTATCCCCAAACCTGGAAAAGTCATAGTTAATCAAAATACATCATTATAATGTTTCCTCAATATTCTTCCTTCAGAGTGACATTCAGGAGGAATACATGAACCAGAAGCTGAAGAGTGAATGGTCTCAGTTTAAACGAAGTGTAGTGATGGACGTCATCAACTCCAAAGGAATCAGACCAGGGTACGGAAAGTGGTCCATGTCCGCAGGCAAAGAGAAAATGTGACAATTCTAGCAGTGTGCCAAAATACTTGACTAAAGAATGTCTGTGAATGTGATCACATGTGGAGAAAAATGAAATCATGTACAACCTATAGTACTATTGTGTTCTTTGTATTTAATATATTTCAATCTATCATCTTATGTGATTTTTACCAGTGAATCTTCTCTCACAATTTTTTCCCTTTGAAGAGCATTTTTCTAACTCAAAGAACATCATGCATGCCTATAAAACTACATGTACTTACAAAAATTTGAAAACTTTGTAGAATTGAAGTACAGTTCATATTTAAATACAATGTAATACTGATTTCATAATTTTTAAAAAGGATTTGTAGAAAGATTACTGGTACATGTACCAGGTATATGAATTGTGAAATTATATAAACATGAAGCAATTTTAATTCTGAGATTAATGCATCACTGACATTATGGAATAATACTACATGTGGTGTGATAAGAGTTCATGTCTGTTTTTGATTTCTCTTCATGTAATTATAAAATAAGCAAAAAAATTATTACATGTACATTGTGTATGTTATGTTTGTTATAGAACATACTGTAAATGGACTTTTATACATACAATAAAATGTATTTTATGTAATACACTGTAAATGTTATGGATCATAAGTTATTGCAGATTGCATTTTATATACCCCAGTTTTGTATTGTGATATTTTTATGTGGCATGCTCAGTACATTGATCTGTATGATATACCATGATAAACACACATTTACAAATCTTTGAAAATAAAAAATAAATAAAAGCTTTAAGTCTCATTTTTTTATTCATAAAAAAAATAATTCATTGCATTTTAAAGGGACATAATCAAAGTTATCAAACATTCTTTTCTAAACTCAAAATAAATTCCTTTGACACAGTTGATAGTAGTAATTTTTTTCCTACTTTTCCTGCTCACTCATAGTCAACAGTCAGTTCTATTTCTAAGTACAGGTCTTGTAGAACTTCTAGGACACTGCTCTGAATGGATTCAACTTGTTCCGGAGGGCAATAATCGTCCTGACTAGATCTGTCAAACGAACAAAAATATTTTACCAAGTGTTTGAGACTGACTGGGAAAAACTACTATCATGGCTATCAAAATAGTTTGAAGACATGGAATGGCATTTTTTCATTTCAATAAAATAATAGCATATACATCTGTATTTGGCAGTGACTTTTGTTTGTATATAAACTGGAATGTACAGTTAATACATTACCACTATATGAATGCTTCAAAATCACATACTCATCATCCAAGCCTTTCCACAATACATGTGCATGTACATTTGATTATTTTCATGTTTGATTGAGATCTTTTACCTAGCCATGGTAATTATGGTCGGACGTTTGATGTGGCACAGGAAGTCTTGTGTGGCATCCACCAACAGAGTTATCTCCTCCTGACTGCTCACATGATGGGGGAGCTCTGTGTCATCACAGGTACAGCCTGCCTCATGCAGAAGGTCAAAGTTCACTGGATTATCATCTGCTTGACAAGATTGCAGGTCATCCACTAAAGCTTTGATCTTTTCAGATCTTCAATGTACAAAAATATATGTGTTATTCTTCGATAAAATATACCATACTCAAATATTCTTCCATATATAATAAGTATACAATAAAATCAGTGTTACTTTTAAGTATTACTCACTTAGAATGACTGAGCTTTGGTTCTGAGCACTCAGTAAATTTCAGGAACTCTTGCTTTAAATGGTCTAACTCCTTTTCTCTCTTCATAACACATTCCTCAACATCCTGGAAATATAAAATTGATGGACATCATGGTTTAAATTTGTTCTCTCTTTGTTATCTATCTTTCTGTCCTCAAGACCATCAACTGAGTGCAGGCATAAAAAAATTTAGAAGTTTGAATACAATTATATGTTTTGATGGCTGTAAATCTTAATGCTTAAGAATTTGCAAGCTTGAAAAATATGAAATACAAGAGATGTTTGTAAAACACTTATGCCACCCTCCCCCCAAATTGGAATTTTTCCAAGTCCAAAAGGGCATAACTCTGTCAGAAATGGCACGATTGTACCAAAAACAGAACTTGACCTAGATAGTCATCTGACAAATCTGAAATTTCATCTCAATATGTGCAACAGTTGCAAAGAAAATGAATGGAAACTGCAAATAATTGGAATTTTTCTAAGTCCAAGGGACATAACTCTGTCAAAAATGAAGCGATGGTACCCAAAACAGATCTTGACCTAGATATTAATGTGATATATCTGTATACCAAATTTCATTTCAGTATGTGCAACAGTTGCAAAGAAAATGAGCGGAAACTGCAAATAATTGAAATTTTTCTAAGTCCAAGGGACATAACTCTGTCAACAATGGTGCGATCGTACCCAAAACAAATCTTGACCTAGATATCAATGCGATATATCTGTGTACCAAATTTCATTTCAGTATGTGCAACAGTTGCAAAGAAAATGAGCGGAAACTGCAAATAATTGAAATTTTTCTAAGTCCAAGGGGCATAACTCTGTCAAAAATCGTGCGATCGTACCCAAAACAGATCTTGACCTAGATATTCATGTGATATATCTGTATACCAAATTTCATTTCAGTATGTACAACAGTTGCAAAGAAAATGAGCGGAAACTGCAAATAATTGAAATTTTTCTAAGTCCAAGGGGCATAACTCTGTCAAAAATCGTGCGATCGTTTCCAAAACAAAATTCGACCTAGATATTCATGTGATATATCTGTATACCAAATTTCATTTCAGTTTGTGCAACGGTTGCGAAGAAAATGAACTAAGTGGACTGACCGACAGACAGCAGCAAAGCAATATGCCCTCCCTTCTTCAAAGGGGGCATATTAATTTGGAGTAGGGGGTTGTTTTTAAATCATACTGATTCTAATTTTTGCTTAAGGTTGTCCTCTGTATTTTGTGGTTTTGGAACCTGATATACACACCTCATCTGACATACTTATAGGTGCCTGAAAGCTGTACAATTCTTTGAGAATTTCGTATTGTGATGGTGTGTAAACCTCCAGGAATGGATTTTTTGTGGAATAAAAATCTAAGTCAATATCTAGGATCAAAGGTCTGTCTGAGAACTCCTGTAATAACTCACTGATACTTGTCAATGATTCCCTGAATCTATCAACTGTCAATTCACTAGATGTACTACCCCCACAGTGTAACACTGCATTGTCTGCATCCTCGTCTCTGAATTCACTTTGTGAAATATCACTTTTCACTTCAGCATTCCATTCTTGTTCATTGTTAGCTACAGTATATTCAGTTTTGCTGTCACTCAATACTCTACAGTTGTTGGAATTTGGATCTTCACTGTCATTTAACCTGTCATCGCATTCTATATGGTCTGATTTTCCATGCTTACATTTACAGACATCTATTTTCTCCCTGGAAACTTCTTCAACATCGCTGTGTACCAATTCCTGATTGTTCAAACATACACCTGACCCTGACTTCCTGCTACTCTGACATTTTCCTTCCTGTTTGATATTTTCCACTGATTTGTCAATGTTTGATTTTTCCTTCCAGCCATTTGGTTTCAATGTAAACGCAATCAGTTGAACTCTTTTCTTGTTCAAAAGCTGAGATTCTGGTCTGTAGAGTGTTTCACTCACAAAGTAAGATTCCTTACAACTGCATCTACAATAATATTTGACCCATTAATAAAATCAGCAGCCATAAAACATGTTTAACACAGCATGGTGTGTTTGTGAAACACCGGATGATCATGTATGAAAGCTTATGGTCATGATTTAAATTTCTAAAACATATTTACACTCCAAGGTCAATACCCCCGGTAGTCAGATTTTCTTTGTATTAAAAGATCTTATTACAAACAGGCCAAAAATTATTTCCTCTCAAATGTTCATTAAGGAGTCAAAAAAACAATTCCTATTATAAATGATTAATACTTGGAACATTGTAATTTCCTTACTACAATGCAGAGATTTCTTAAATTGTGAAGTTCTTTACTGTGGTTTTGTTTAAATATAGATCTAATAGTTGCCATTTACATAAATTATATCCATGTATATGTACAGTAGTTACTGTACCACTGAAGTGTTATATTTTGATTAAACAATGCTAGAAATTTGCATTACGAACTTGTATCACCTTATTGTCCCTGTTGTGGCACACTTGCCCACATAGAAATGTGTGTTTTTATCTGCTATCTGTGTGCACCATGGAGGCTTGACCCACACAATAACACTCACATGGCCAGCATAAACCAAAGGCATAATCCAGTTTTCTATGCTGATGCTCCTAAAAAAATGATTTGACTGGTAGAAAAACAGTGTGTTCATACTTCAACAAAATATTGTTTGAGTATTTCAAATGTATGGAATTACAAAAATATACTGTACATGTATTTACTCATAAAGTGATTCTTTGTTAAAAACATCATCAGCAGGCATTTCTTTTGCAATGAGCAGATCTGGATGAGAGTCGAAGTGAACAAAAACCATATCACAGAATGGAAGATGGTGGCTTCCTATGGCTCGGTGTATGTATGGCAGAACCTAAGGAAATATAAATATGCAATCATGATTACTGTGAAGCTCCTCTCAGCAAATTTTATGTGCAAAAAGTTGTAAAATCACTGTATGTTTGTTTGGGTCACTTTTTCATATTTAAAAAATAATATTGGACAATAAGGATTTAAATTTAGAGTTGATGTGCATTTGAAATTTATATATTTTGTGAGAACATGAATTATGGTGGTGGCCTGGTGGGGTGGCGAAAGATTGTTTTAAACATTATTATTACATGTACTAATGATACATCCATGAAATCTGTCTTTTCAGTGTACTATGTTGAATATCATTTTGAATATTTTCTTGTTTTAACTAACGTGCTAATTCAAATTAAATAAATAAAACAAAAACTTTATTAATTTCAAATTTGAGGAAATCCATATCTTGATGGGAGGGATTGTGTCAAAACTTTGAACTGATTCATGTATTGTAATTTTGTATACTTATATACCTCATTGTGATCTTCAACAATATACAAAGGCAAACGTCTGTATTTCTTCAGCTTTTTGGTTGAGCTTGAGCCAGCGAATGCTGTTGCTGAAGGAGAAAAATAAATATTTTAGGCCATCTTTATAATGTACGTTCCATGCACTCTCCCGACTCAAGGGTTAAACAAATGAACAACTATGTGCTATGGTGGTAACCTCTGGGGTCAAACACATAAATGGTAAGTTATCATTTGCATTCATTTAAATGCCTTTCAATTGCCAATTTATAACATAAACCAGTATATACTACAATAGATAGAATGTTCTATCGTTAAATGATAAATGTCCTACGGACCCGGTTCTAACTATTGTTACAACAGAAAGGCTTTTTTATATTTTTCACCAGAATTTCCTCGGTATTATGGATAGACCCCCTCTGCTTCTAGATCTTTACACATGATTTTGGCACAGAATTCATTGTCATCATCAAAAGAGGTTTCTTGGACCCATGAAAACATGGAACGTTTATATTGGATATTCTCAAATAAAGGAGAAAACATAAAAATATATATATTTCTTAAACTCACGTCCGATGGAAGCCGCCATGTTTATAAAAATATTAACTCGTTCATGAGTTGGGATTTATTTAGATCTCGGTCAGGTTTTGGTTTAGGGGTTGGTCCTATTTTTGTGAAAATTCATTATTTATTTGAAAATCTCCTTTGTCCAGGGTTGCACTATGCTCAGATGACCAATAAGGTCCCCTATATTCTTCCTCACTTCGTTCGACCAAATATAAATGAATTCTATAAATTATGCTTTTAATTTAGAAGTAAAAGAGAGTATCCTCAATATATAAAGACCAAATTAGGAATGCTCCTTGCTATAACCTTTAATGAAAACATCCCATTTTTTTATTTTGTTCAGAGTCCACCCTAACTTCGAATTAACGGCAAAATGAGCAATTTTATCTTGATAAATGGTGACCCCCACCCACATCCGCAACCCTATTCCCTGAGAATTCGGATTTGAGTCAGTTTCCCTATTTCTGTTTTTTTTTTCATTTACTCATCTTTTTTGAACAATGAAGAGAAAGTAAAACGCTTTCACGGTTAACACTGTGGTCTGTAAGGACTGAAAAAAATATCCCAATCCAATGACAAATGGTACTGTCTTTTTTCTCTGTTTAGTAATTCATGCTACGAGACTGTCCGCTGTAACATTAGTAGTTTAGATTTATATTATATCTAGGCAAGTTTAGATTTTCATTTTACAGAGGGATTTTTCTTAAATTGTTCAACCCTCTGTACAGTCACCAGGATTAACTTTAAAACATATTTTTATAATATTTTACATTGTATTTGTAACAGGTGACTGTTTGTTTATAAGATTATTAATACACTTTCATCGACGATTTCAAAGAATAAACTTCAGTTATTAAAAATATATTATTTCTTTATTCTTTGGATTTTTACAGCCACTGTAGAGGACAGTCCACATCAGGAATCTACCCCACGTGTAGAGCAATCCAAATAAGGAATAAAGTTAAACTTTCCCAAGCGAGTGATTCCCCTAATAAATAAAATACAACACAAGTTCACGTGTAACCCAAAATATCAACGTGACAGTACGTCTTAACAGGGACCTATATATTAGTATATAGGTCCCTGGTCTTAATTCCAAAACGAAAATAACTGAGTGTAGAAAGAATAGTAATGGTTGATATTTGTTTAACATGTTAGCTCCCTCCTCTTTTAGAGTTTATTGTTATGCCCCCATCATCGAAAATTCGGAGTGCATGTATATACTAGTAGTTTTTGCCCAGTCCCGACTCCGTCCGTCCGTCGGTCTGTCTGTCCGCAAAAACTTTAGCATTGTGCCATTCTCAATAACTTTTGACTGATTGGAGGGATGGTTTTCATACTCGACTTTATGATTTGTATATTCCTTGAAACAAGGACTCTATTCGGGTACCAGCATATTCGAATTCCTGAACCTGAACTTTTATCTTGGTCACAACTTTTGAATGGTCGGTACGAGCTTAATAGTGATTTTTTTTTATTCTTCAATCTTCATCACTCTCTACCATCGGCTCATACATTCACCTCTGTCGTTGGCTCGCGTATATCACAGTGATAAACACGAGAAGTAGTGCGTTTGTTTTAATTCATTATAATTCAATCTATATGTTTATGTCTGACTTTTCAGATAGATATTTACTAAATTAATCCAGAGCTATTAATTTAATTTGAGACAATCCTGCAGATATTACTATTTATACGTTTTGTCAAAAATCTTGACGTGAGCCCATTGCAGAGGTGTCTGAGAGAGGAACGAACGACAACTCTGCATAGGAGATTGGTTCTTCATGTGTGTAATCAGTGTGGTAAAACCTATAGATTGATATACGCTGTAAATATTCTTGACCTTTGTCCTTGACCTTGGAGTTTGACCTACTCTTGAAAAACTTAACATTTGGCCATAACTTTTGCACAGTTGGTGCCAGGGCTTTGATATTTCACATTTGTTTTTCTTATGGCAAGGTTTTAATTCCCTCGGGTACCTTTTATTTGACCTTTTCAATTTGATCTTGAAGTTTGACCCAAATTCAAAAAAAAGAAACTTAAACTTTGGCAATAACATTTGAATGGTTGGAGCTTGGGCTTTCATATTTCACAGGAATACTAGTATTCAACGATACAAGTCCTTTCTTTTATTCACAACATTTCTTTCAACTCACAACCATGACCCTGGAGTTTGACTTCCATTTGAGAAACTTTTACCTTTGCCATAAGCTGTGCTACGGCACCGTGTATATCCCAACATGCGGGGTGTATACTATGTTGTGCGCGAGGTGTATACTTCTGAAGCGAGAGAAAGGGGGTCAATGTACGTTCTTTGTCCATTTTCTCAACTTACGGATATTTTTCGCCAGTAAGCATATGCCTACGGAAGGAAGCATTGTCTAAGGAGTATATGGATACCTGTGAATCCACTGGACACCTAGTTTTATCAAACACCTCAACACAATTCCGAGGATCGGAGCAAGATTGACGCAACACTGTGTTTATGATCAAATATCAGAACAAAGTTTTGCTTTATCGTCAATTTTATATTATTGTTAAATACATGTTTACAATATAAACGTTTGTACAAATTGTCTGTAAATAAAACAGTTCGTATATAAAGATATTGACGAAAAATCAATGTTGTGTCCGGGGTGTATGCAACATGTTGTACGCGGGGTGTATACCCCTCTTTTTCCTCTACATGCAGTATCATTGTCTGAAATGTTATTAAAAAAATTGTTAACAATTGACTTTAGTAAAAGTTCTATTTATTTTTAAAATTATTTACCAGTTTTGCAATAGCACAACTTCAGGTTCATGAATTCGATTTACTGGAAATAAAATTGATACCCGTTCATCGTACTTTTGGCTTTGCATGCACATGGAAGTAAATGTACAGGGTACTTTGTTTAACTGTTTAATGTGATGATCAACAATTCATCCCTTCTTTCGATTTAAAGGCACCTTAGTCAGATCCTTTCTTAATAAATGCTTCACACATTAATCATTTTGAACATTTAACATTACCTCATAATTTCTGTTTAACTTTTTTCAATACTTTTTAAATGAGTTTGAAAATATTTAGCTTTTTGTAATGTCATAAACAACAGAAAAAATGTTCTCATTCGTGTAGTATTTATATGTTGTGTACTTTGCCCCCAGGAGCCTATATTTGGCAGTAAACTATTTGTTTAATATTGAGGCATTGTATTTTACTGAGTACATACTTTCTAGGAATGGGCCCGAGGAGGGTGTGTTTGTGTCTTAGGTCTTTCTTTTTTTTTTGGGGGGGGGGGGTAACTTTACTACGTGTATATACGATAATAAATTAGAGGAGGGTGAACATAATTAATATAAATTACACGTCAACGTAAAATTGTAATTGTACCAAAAACAGTTTTTTTTTCAATTGTGCATGCCCTCGGAAAATTGTCGTCCCTTATTACAAATGTGCATTTTTATAGCCGGCTTTACATGTTTATTGTGATTTGTAAAATATGAAATCTTTTCAGATAAAGAAAAATGAGTCCACATATTGCGAAAATTGAAAGGAAAATTAATATACATGTATCATACAGACACGTAGTATCACCCCCCTTTTTGTTCCAGTCACAACTTTTCACTACAGAAAATGTTCATCGAAAGTCAGGTTGCCCCCCCCCTTTTTTTTTGTTGCAGCATAGTCAAAAAATGGTTATGTAGTATGTTTAAGTAAGAAAAGGAGAATTGGTACTGAAAAAGATGGAACCTACAACCTCATGTGAAATAGGAGTTTGAGTTTCGATAAGCCCCCCCCCCCCTCCCTTTTCATAGGTAGTCAACTTATGTTAAGGGTTTTTTTTCAGGTATCCGCCCCTTCAAAAAAGATTCTACATCACTGTCATAAATGCTTAAGAATACATGTATTGATAACATAAATGTTGCCGAAACAAAAAAAACACACAATTTATTCATAATACACCATTCATGTAGAGTTTCTATTATTTTTAACAGGCGAAATATTTAGGTTAAAACGAGCCAAAGAAAGAGCAAAGTGTCCTCAATGCAGGGATTGGGGGGGGGGGGCGAGGGACCCTTTGGAGAGATTTTATGATGACGTAGATTTAGATCATTGCACCATCTACAATGTAGCATTTAGTCAGATAACAATCGCTCCTTGCACATCTAGCGCCTTTTATGTTTGAATATGATTGTTTTTTTATTCTTTTTTAAATTTAGTTGATTTGTTTTTTATTTCAGTAATTTTATGGAAATTACTCTTTGGTTCGACATTAGTATTTAAGGTCTTTTATCAACACTATCTGTCGCTTTTAAACCTGTGTGAATATAATATTTCCATTGATACTTTGCACTATACAATCCTAAGAAAAATAGGGGTATACACCCCGCATACAGCATGTTGCATACACCCCGGACACAACATTGATTTTTCGTCAATATCTTTATATACGGACTGTTTTATTTACAGACAATTTGTACAAACGTTTATTTTGTAAACATATATTTAACAATAATATAAAAGTGACGATAAAGCAAAGCTTTGTTCTGATATTTGATCATAAACACTGTGTAGCGTCAATCTTGCTCCGATCCTCGGAATTGTGTTGAGGTGTTTGATAAAACTAGAAGGTGTCCAGTGGATTCACAGGTATCTATATACTCCTTAGACAATGCTTCCTTCCGTAGGCATACGCTTACTGGCGAAAAATATCCGTAAGTTGAGAAAATGGACAAAGAACGTACATTGACCCCATTTCTCTCGCTTCGGAAGCATACACCCCGCGCACAACATAGTATACACCCCGCATGTTGGGATATACACGGTGTACGGGGACATCAGTGTTTTACAAACACGTCTTGTTTCATTTGATACTCCATGTATAGATATTTAAAAAGGTGTTAAGATGTTACTAGGTTTTACAACTGTTTGATAATAAATATCTACTTTCAAATATTTTAATTTTGAATGTGTAAATAAACGGTAAATAAATCGCAAAAAACTACACATAAATTGGCCTCAGATAAAAATTATACAATAAATTG